ATCGTAGCTTCCCTGTGTCTTTTCTATACTTACTTTCATGGTAATTGTTCAAATGATCTTTGCTCTATGGTACCTAGACTTTATGAATGTTAAGCGCAGTACTAAATTAGCATCAAGGTTTAAACAATCTACAGTTGAAATGGCTAGAATTAATTGTAGGTTCTATGTTAACAGTTTCTTCTGATGCACTTCCCGATTGTGAAACTCACTTCCGGCTCTTGTTTCTCAGTCAACTTCGATCTCCAATAATTTTAATACAATGTTAATCGTCGTCATCGGTCTTCTTATACTTATATTATCCTCTCTCATTAATAGTAGTTTTATTCTCTAACACTCTGTAACTTCTTGCGTCCTCGGACTTTATTGCTTTGCTTGGGGTGAAATGATCTTGGGAATCTATGGCGTCAGGAAGGTCATTGATGAAAATAAGGAATAGAGTGGGGCCAAGGATGGAGCCTTGGGGAACACCTGCGTTTGTGGGATAGGAACTGGAGGAGAATCCGTTGAGAACGACCTTCAATTCTCGGTTTGACAGGAATGATTGTATTAGATCAAACAGTCGGGGTATGGTGTTACTGGTCTAAATTAAAAGAGTAATCAATACAATTTTCATAAAATGAAAATGTAGGAAAAGTTAAGATATAAAATATGCGAAACACTGACAATCACGGTTTTCTACCAAGATAGTTTTCGTAAGCAGCATGACGAAACCATCTTCGTAAAAACCGTGGTTGCAAAATGGTCAGTGTTTCTGTTATTTTCTATCTATCTCTCTCTCTCTCTCTCTCTCTCTTTATATATATATATATATATATATATATATATAGGATTAATGTGTAAACGTTTATTACTTAGCTGATTGATGTTACCTTCTAATATCTCCTGAAGAGCGGACAGACAGGTCCGACTACGAAACTCTGGAATCAGGATGATGAAGGTAATATCAGTCAGTTAAGTGACAAACATTTACACATATTAATCCTATTAATGCTTTATCTTTGATATCGGGCACTTTATTGCAAAGATTGCTTGCCTTAAATGTCTTTTCTCAATATCCCATTGACTGACAGCATTTTCGGCTTCATACTGGCGATCTATGTTCAAATTCAAGTGTCGGCAGTGACACTTTATTCCTATATAACAATATGTCAAAATATGTATAATTATTATTTATACGCAGAGTTTGTCTATATTTCTGAGATGAGGTATTATGTACAGTATTTACATTAGTCGGACTATTGTCCTCATCTTTGTCGCCATATTTGTCACAACGTTTCGGCCGTTGTACGCTCCGGCCTTCTTCAGGTGGTTGGAATTTCGAACTGAACCCTTTATTTCGATCGCTGGGGTAGACTGTTCTAATTCCACGTGCCATGTTTGATGGATGTCAGTTATCAGTTATCTCCTGCTAATTTTCCCTCTGAAAGTTCTCCACTGCCTTAACCAGGAATTGAACTCACCTTCTTTGGGTCTGTCACTGGATCTAACCAACGCCTTTATCCACTGTGCCATGTGTCCTTGGCGACAAAGATGAGGACAATAGTCCGACTAATGTAAATACTGTATTTATACGCAATTAAATATTTTATACACGCTTTAAAATACAACCTAATAATAAGCGGGTTGTCTTCCCCTGCCAATACACTTCTGTGCAATAATTAATCGAAGAAGAAAAAATGAATTTTTGCTCTGTTGTTCAGAAGCTTCTCTTTATTCGGGCGATGAATGGAGGTCGAAAAGGTAAAGAGTGTTTTCCTATTTCAGTTAGGAATAGGAGACACAGTTTCCTTATCACAGATCGTCTGACCACATCCCAAAATATGGGTTGCACCGATTAACCCCATGCACATAAAATGATAAACTGAGAAGAGCAAAAGAAATCCTCAATATAAATTTTTCGAACATGAAAACCCACAAGTTGTTTCATATAGGTGCTCTCTGGCCAAAGCCACATTAGCATGACATATACTAGATGGTCACTTGATTCACGACCAAGCGGTATACATATATAGGTGTATTTAGGCAGCAATAATTCTTTTAAGCCAATTTCTTTTACGTTTCTCCAACTTCCGATTAAGTTGTTTTATGTAAGATTTAAAATTGGTAGACTTTACCAATTTTAATTCTGATAAGAAATAACATAATATAATTATGGATGTTTGGCGTTCCTAAGCGTTCACTCATCCACTCCATTCCTCGTCAACCATCGTGGCAGTTGTAGACCTACTTTTTTTTTAACTTCGAGCTGTAACTATTATAGGGGTGCCTTTCGCAACCATCAAGAGCAGTGCAACAACCATGAGGTCCAAATGGCGGACAATGGAGCGTGGAGTGGTATGCTTGAAAATGTGAGATACAGTAAGCTCGTTTCCACCAGCAAACGCTGTTATCTTCATAAATGGGATTGTCCGAGTAGTGGGTCATTAGAATGGGCTTAGGGTAAAGAGGTGAAAATCTGATGTTTTGGTGTTAGATTGCACAAGCAAGACGAATGCAGTCTGAATGAAAATGCAGTCTTTTTTATTACTCCGATTGGCACTAGCCTAAGGACTGGCCTATTGAACTATTAAGCCGTTCATCTCTGAAAGCTACGAGGATCCAGCTACCAAAATGTAGGCTATCGATATATTTTGGCGGGACCCGACAGATGGGGGCTCGGACGCTGCAAACCTTTAAGAAAATGTTAGAATTTGACCAATTACAGGGATATTTTGAAACCCATTAGTAATACCGCTTCTAGACGCCATAATCAACACATTTAGAGATTTTTTCGTTCTCTTTTCTATCCTTTCAGCTCCAATTAGCTGTATGATTATTCATTTACTATCACTGCACACACTGTTAACAAATTTACCTTCTTTTTGTCCCTTCAGGATTTTGCCGATAATGGCTCTCCACAACTTCCTATATTTTGTTGCTCTAAGTAACTTTTGACCCTTTTCCACCCTTCTTTGTTCTTGTTCTCTCATCCATTCACACACTCATTAAGTGGGTGATCATGGCTCTCCACAACTTCCTGTATTTTGTTGCTCTAAGTAACCTTTGACTCTTTGCTATCCCACTTTGTCCTTGTTCACTCATCTATTCACAGAGGTAGGTTACTTGGTGTTTACCCCGATTTTCTTGTTTCAATATGTTCCTCCAACTATTAAATTATCAAAGCTTTCTTCCATCATTATGTGTCCCATAAATTGTATCTGTCTGTTTTTATTGTTAACATCTGTTTCCTTGCAGTTCCTGTTACCCTTAAAACTTCCTCGCATGTTCTGTCCATGGTATTTCCAATATTCTTCAATGGAACCACATTCTTGTCACTTCTTCTTCGTCTGTGAGAAAAATTGCCCAATATTCTGTGCCATATATGTGATAAATATTAACAGGGAGCCTAAAATAGATATACCGGGCATAACATTCCAGCTGAAATATCTGCGTTAAATGAATTAATGTTTTTTCAAAGCCAAGCATGACAAAATCTACTAGTTATTTATCAGTCAGTTATGTGTCATGCGCGATACACGCTTAGGCGATCATGTATCTTTCGATACATGACTGACGAGGCAGATGTTTTTCCCGCTGTAGGTTGCCATTTATTTCTGCGATAGACCAGTTGCCATCCAAGGCTACAGAACCCGGTCTGGGAGGAGAAAAGGAGAATTCATACCTTTCCCAAGGGTATTAGCACGTAAGTGAATGTAATGGATTCGACTGGAATTCGAACTCGAGCCACTATCCCTTGCCTCCTTTAGTTATTCATATTGATTGAAATAAGCTAAGCTTAGCCCAAGCTTTTTCGAATTAAAAGTTCAAATTAAAAATTATGCTTATTTTGTTATAAATAGTAGTGAGCTATTATATATCAATCTTCCTAAGTGAATCCTGATGATGATGAAGAAGAGACTTGAGGTAACCTAAATGTGCTTCTATAGAAATAGGCTGAGAATAACATGGACTGAACATATGAGTAACGGGGAAGTTTTAAGATAAATTGAAACGAAAAGAGTTGAGATTTCGGTAATCCTAACTTAAGCGACGTAAAATAAACTGCTATTCCTTAAATGACGTAAACCAATAACGTTTACGTTTATTATAATTAAACATTATTACAACAGGTAATGATGGAGAACGCAGCAAATACATGCTGAAAAAAGGACTGTTTTCGTACCGCAGTATTCACAAAATGTTTTTGATGAATAATGACGCCATAAGAGTATATCTCGTGGTTTATTTCCTCGATTCCACCATAAGCAGCCCAGACATCTGAATCAATGTGGCTTCCAGCGCAATCTGCACAATCTTCTATTTCAGGGTCTCTGCTTGCTGATCCAGCACCTCAACTAAAAGACACTTTCCTGAACCCTGCTCGATACCACCGAATACCCAATGGCCAGCGCGCCATTGGCCACGTTGATATTTACGACGAAAAATAAATGACAGTTTATTTTACGCCATTTAAGTGAAACAGAACGTTGGCAGATTCTTTTACGTCGCTTAAGTGAAGGATTACCGAAATTTCTAAGACTTTCAATGTGGAGAGTGGACTCGGAGAATCTGAGATGTATAGAATGTACCGAAGACAAGAGAGACAATGTGGAATCTATCTAACGAGATTGTATAAAATGGTCGCAGGATATCGACAGGCAGGGATAGTAAGATAGACTTTGTTAAGAAGTGCTACAAAGGATGTGAAGTTCTGGAGAGCCCACATTTTGAAAAGATATGGAATATAAATGAAGAACAGCTATCAAGTAGCAACTGCATTCTTTTGAGTGCACGGAGTGTTTACCTATGTATACGGGTAGGAATTTATCTCGATATACAGCACTTAATCGTCTATGAGTGTTTAGATAGAGCACTGATGTCCATGTTTATCTACAACGCACATATGAGTGCGCGCTCTTTTTATGTTAGTACTTTAATCTATGCAATATAACTTTATACACTTGTGTACTGTTGTTTCTATTCAATAATGTAGCAAAGGTATACAGGTCTTCAGAGTCTACGTTACCGATAACTTTCAGGGACGCAAAAAAAATTAGAGATAGATGATGAAGGGTAGGAGATTTCAAAGAAAAAGTAAAGAGAGAGAGAGAGAGAGAGAGAGAGAGAGAGAGAGTGAGTGATATTAGAATGTCATTAACTTTAGTACGTCTCCTCACTTACCCACCTGAACCCCAACCCTCCCGCCATCTCTCAATCCATACTTCCAGGACTTGTATTCAGTTTGAAGAAAGAAACAAAACGAAAGATCAAAGACGCCGACTGATTCGATAACAATAATAATAAGAAAGAAAGAAAGAAAGAAAGAAAGAAAGAAAGAAAGAAAGAAAGAAAACTTCCCGGAAATTATATAAAAAAAAATATTAAGTATCGGAAAGTGAAAAAGTTGAAGTTTTGTTACGTCGTCTTCGCTGAGATATTGTAAACAAAATGGTTGTTATTTTCTGAAATGTCGTCAGTCAAGCGCACATTAACTTAAGCATATACACAAATCTAGCACCCCCCACATTCACACACACACACACACACACACACACACACACACACACACACACACACACACACAGAGGCTTTTGAAAAAAAAAGAAAGAAAAAAGGTGTATGCCAGGAGAAACGCAACCGCAATACATGCATATAAAACGTACATCTATAAACGGAATCATATAAACACACACACGCACGCACACGCGCGCACTCACAGACACGCACGCACACATACTACATTTAAGAGGAAAGTCTTCGATATCTTCATCAATAAACAGATACACAGATAGATGCAAGAACGAAAACCCATGCACAAACAGCACCAAATTTTTATCGGTCCAAACTACATTAATAGTAAATATCTGCAAAATTAATACACTGTATATATGAAATATATATGTATGTATGTATTGTATGGCTTTCACCTAAGCGGTCCTGGTTCGTTTCTTGGTCTGGGAACGGTCTTATGTTAGCACGTTAACATTACAACCATGAAACCCAGGTTCGAATAAACATTTTGCTCTCTATCAAAATGGCCGATGCTAACCTCCAGGAAATCAACTCATTGGTCTCACGTTTTCTACATAGCAAATGGAATAATCATATTGAATCAATTGCTAGGTCTGCTGCTAGGAAACTTGGTCACTGTGTCGTGCTAGAAAATTTTTCTTGACAGAAACCATCTTGCACATGAATGAATCTGTCATTCGTCTATTTCTTGGATATTGCTGCCATATCTACTTTGGTGCTCCGGCTATATATCTCGAGATTCTTGACAAAATTCAAAGAACGGTCTGTAATGTTATCGGTCCTAACCTGACATCTCGACTTCAGTCACAGTTCCCCCTCGTCGTGATGTCGCTTTCCTCGATCTTTTGCTATAAAATATCTTCATGACTGTTGTTCTAATGGGCTCTCCTCCTTGCTACCTGGACCCAATGAATTTAAGTGTACTGCTAGATTGTTAACTAGGTTTTATTGTTGAAATAGCAAGATGTAAGTGTAAGTTCTATTCCAATACATCTTTTTCTCGTACTTCTCGCTTGTGGACCTCTCCTCTGATTTATTGCTTCCCTGATAACAAAAATCTTCAAAAATTTAAATGCAATGTCACTTACAATCCTCTGTCTTCATGTTCTTTTCTTGTTCATTTCACCTCACTGAAGTTTTCTCATTCTCTTTCACTCCCTTACACCCCCCTTACATCTTGATGGCTTTATCACCTTGATTGGGGTGAAATGATTAAAAATAAAAAAAATAAAAAGATTGATTTGTAAAAGAGATAACTTCTTGATAATATCGTCCTCGGGAGACAATCCCAGCTTCACTGTTGAAAGATGCATGAAAATTACAATGCCTTGTGAATTAAATTGGGTTGATGAAGCTGTTAGCCGTCGATGGCTGTGCTAGCTCGAACGAAGGCATAACCCCTTATGACCAAGGACTTGAAAGTATTGGCTTTGTTCAAAACCTTTGATCATACCGGATTATGAATCGTTCTCTTCCAGGAACTGTAACTGCTCAGATTCCTCCCCCTTTTAAATACCTCTTCAGGAATTGGGGAAATCATGACCCTCCACAACTTCCTATCATTTGTAACTCTGAGTAAGGTTTTTCTTTTACTTAAAGCGCCTGCTCTTTGTTCTGCCGTCCACTTACACATACACGTTAGGTATGATACACGTGGCCGGTAATAAAATCACGGGAAAAAGTCACTATTTTTGCAAAATTAAAGCTTCCATTTTGCACAAAACATAATGAAAATAACGTTTATTTACGCATTATAGCCTGTGATGTACATGGCCGTTAATAAAGTCACAGGAAAAAGTTACAGAAAATAGGTACAATTTTAACTAGAAATAAAGTTACAATTAATTTATGATAGCCGGTAATAAAGTCATCTATTTCTGTCTGGCACTTCACAAGTTTATGGACCCACTCTCTTTGCAATAGAAATTCATAGTAAATCGATCCAACCTCTAAAAAACGTTTTCTAACAATGCTACCGTTATATATTCGATATATTTCGTAGTTAGGGAGTTCTAGTATCCTATAAGACCCGACTTTATGTGAAGAAAGCTTTAAGAAGAGTGATTTCTTTTCATTTGTACCAAAACATAAACAAACCCTGTGGATCGTATACAAAAATAGATTTAAAAATCCGTAAAAAACGACAATGATACAGTCACATATTCGATATATTTCATAGTATCCCAACAGAAAGCGTACATAGATCTAGAGACAAAATTGCCTCAAGCCTCCCCTCTCAACATTTCCCCTTTCGGAATGCTTCAAGCGTCAGAGATTAACCCTTGTCCTACCTCAGAGGAGAGGTACTGCTTGCGGAGATGATCCCTTGGGGCTGAGCAGGTCATGCTTCATTTAATTCCGATGGAGTTCTGGCAGATTTCGGGTAAGTTAAATTCATTGTTTTCAACAAATTGGAATGCGTGAGTAGCGTAACGCTCATCGGCGCGAAAAATGAAATCGACGTGTCTAGTTCAAATCCTGCCTTAGTCTGTTGCGTTCACTTTCACACAAATACCCTTTGGAAAGTTATTCATCTCTCCTCCTAAGTTTAAATAGCAGAGTGAACTGGGTTCTTTAAGCTAGGGTGGAGAAGAACTACTCTGAATTCAACAGTGGAGAAGGTAATAGGAAACCATGCCGCCCTCTTTCCAAAGAAGTAAAAACAATTCACTGGTAATCCTCTGTGGAGTGGCATGATCGGCTATGTCCTGAAAAGTGATGGCATTTTAAAAAATTACATTATAAAGAGTTAATAGGAAAGCTATTTGATTTATTAGAACTTATATCGGATACAATATCGTCTTATTGTTGAAATAGGTGGATGTAAGCGTAACTTCTACTTTTCTCGCACTTCTTACTTCTGGGAATGTCTTTCTGTTTCTTGCTTCCTTGTCACCTAGAATCTTCCAACACTTAAATGCAATGTCAATCGCCATCTTCAGACTTCTTGATTTCTGAACTTTTATTGCCATTTATCCTTGCTGAAATCTTCGCATTTTCCTCCACTCCCACTAATCTAATCTTAGTGGCATTATCGCCTCGCTTGGGAGGAAATTATATATATATATATATATTATTATTATTATTATTATTATTATTATTATTATTATTAAACGTATATTTAGCAAGTCATTTTAGAGTCATTCCTAGTTTGTTTTGTTTTGTTTTTTGTTTTTTTGTTGTTTTTTTTTTACCGTGAAATGAATGTATATTGTTCTGGGGAAGTCCTAAATTAAAGAAAATGTACATCCCGACAGAAATCGAACCTTTCTTCTAATTTTAATCAAGGAAACCACTTTTAAGCTAAGTATGCCTTATCGCTGTCCAAATAAAACGTAATATAATATTACACGCACGCACTCATACAAACATATGTAATCGCGTGTGTTTCTTTAAAATAGATACATACGTACAGATATATGTGTGTTTTTGTGTGTGATCGAGTGTATTTCTTTAAATTAGGTATATATATATATATATATATATATATATATAAAATTTCAGATACCTTAAAAAATTGACAAGAACCTTTAAAATGCATTTAAAATAATTTAATTTTTTTAGTAACATTTTGGTTCCTTTTGAAAGATTATGGCCTAACGTAAATCCATAAAAAAAGAAAAATAATTGTACGCATTTCAATAAGGTTTTAAGATTTTTTAAATTCTCACAGTCATTTTATCAACGATCCGACATTCTAACTGAAAAATGATAACAGAAAATATGTCATTTTAAAAATCTCCTAAAAATCAAATATCTATCCTAGATATTAGTTTCAAAGATAATTAGGAAAATATTTTTCTATATTTATTAGATGATGTATTGTAACTATTTACACTTTTTTACACGGCCCAGTGGATAAAAGCGTTGTTTGTGTAATGCAAAAAATTACTTGTCCCAAAGAGTGGCGAGTTCGATACCTGGCCGCAGCAGAGGGAGCAAAAACTTAGAGATTTGTGTCACTAAAGGGAATTAATTGATACTGGAATATCAATAGAACAATCACCCCGTGAACTAAATAAAGTAGTTACCTCCAAAAATTCGGTATACCTAAGGTTTAAATGTATTTTCGTAAATGAAAAATCTTTCTTGAAGTTTTCTTTTTAGCCTGAATTGAAAGCTAATTCCAGAAAGCAAAATACTGTGGTGGATTTCAAATAGAAATTAGAATGATATTTAGTCGATTCATTTTTTTTCCAGATAAACTAATCGAAACGGTCATTTTTAATTTTTTGACAGATTGTAAACAAAATTTAATTCTTGGTTTTAAAAATCTTGCAAAAATAAAATATAAATTTCTGAAACGTTATTTGCGTAAAATTAACAAATTTAAAGTTAAATTAATCTGTTCTGAAACAAATATTACTGACTTATAGCATAAAATTTTTTTATGCAAGCATTTCTTGAACACGGTGTCTTTTTATTCTCACGCCTCCATCGATAAATTGAAGGCCGAAGGTGTTGGCAGGTTAAGTATGGAGGACCAGAATTGACATAAATTTACAAATTCTAAATAAAAACGGTTTGTTTTTGTTTTTTAACTACCAGGTAATTTTTAAAAGTTAACAAGATATTTTAAACAATTATCAAATATTTAATTGATTTTTTTAGGTTCTTAACCTCACGATTGAAGATACTTTCTGAAAATATAACATTTAGAATACTACAAAAATTTCTTAAATTAATAACATTTCATAAAATATTAAATTACCTTTAAATGTTTATTCCTTTCTACCACGTTCGAAATTCTGGTCATTTTTTTTTTTTTTGCGTCAGCAGTGTCCAAATTTTTGTTTTTGTTTCAAATCAGATTAATTTAAC